TTTGTTTTACATTTTGTTATATAATCACAGTTAAAAGTTGCAAATTAAGGGTTAGCTCAGTTTGTGGTTTTCTGAGTTGTGTTTGATATTATTGATATTACTATAGCCGAACTTGACATAACTGTTCTAAATAGCTGTTGGTTCTGGTATTCCATGACTGAGATTAACTATGGGTCACAGAAAATAATGTGGTACAGTGCCAGAGAACCAGGGACTGGACCAAACAAGTAACAACTTCTCAGCTCCAACAAACTGAAGAGGTAAGATCTTTCAATAGACTCAAAACCCAAAAATGAGCTATACCTGGAAGACACCTCAGAGAAGTAATTATCACCTAGGGGTCCTAAATACTACCAATAAAGCAACCATAGGCAATTTATAAGCATTACTCCAGGAATTAAACTAAAAAAAGAGAAAATAAAATGAGAAGACACTTAAGAAAAATGCAACCCAAGATATCCAATTCACCAAAGGCAAATCCAGCGGCCAATGAGGTGGTACAATCTGAAAGGCCTCCCCCCAGGTCTCTCTAAAGTGGAAACAACAAAATAAGTGAGGTTCTGAAAAAACTGAGATCAGAAATAATCTCTCAGATAACTACAGAGATTACAAAAATACACACCATACTTAGTGACAGAGCAGATACTGAAAAAAAATAGGTGATATTAAGAAAATTATGGAAATTCAGCATAGGAAAGAAATAGAATCTATAAAGCAGATTCAAGCAGATATCCAGGAGAATAAAAACTGCATTGAAAGTATTTAAAGCTGGTTAGGCTGATATGAGAACAGGGTCTCAAATACTGAAGACAGGCTTGTACTTCATGACCAGGAAAAGAAAGATTTCTTAAAAATAGCAAGGGACCATGAGAAATTAATCCAATAGCTGCTAGACAAGACAAATAAGAATAACTTAAGATTAATTGGAGTCAGTGAACAAGTAGGAGATGTTGCAAGTGACATTAAAAAATTATTCACAGACATGACAGAAACTTTTCTGATAGACAAAAAGAATTTGACATATGGATAAATGAGGCACATAGAACTCCATTTAGCAGCAATCAAACAAAATCTACAGCTAAGTATATCATATAGTCAAGATTCCAGAAATTCAAAACAAGAGTCCTAAAAGCTGTTAGAGAATAAGAACAAATCACTTATATAGGAAAGCCATCAGAATTACAGCTGACTTCTCAGCACAAACTCTCATGTCAAGGAGAGTGTAGAGAGAAATACTTCATGTTCTAAAGGAAAACAGCTTTCAACCCAGACTAATGTACCACACAAAAGTATCTTTCTAAATTGAACAAGAAATAAGATACTTCCATGATAAAGAACATCTGAGGAAATTCATGACCACCAAACCAGCACTCCAAAATGTTCTGAAGGACATTCTAGAAAGATAATAAGGACTACAGTTCTGTGAACCCCAACAGGAGGAATCCACCAGGGAAGGCAAATAGGGAAGGGGAAAAAAATGAGAAAGTCAACAACAGGATGATAATACGACAAGGATAAGCCAACATATCAGTTATAACCATCAGTGTTAATTCTTTCAGTTCACTAATCAAAAGAAAGTCTGATAGAAGGGATCAGAAGCAAAATCCAACAATATGCTACATACAAGAAACACATTTCATTCTAAAAGAAATTCACAGACTGAAAGTTAAAGGATAGGAAAAAAAAACTCTATGTGACAGCAGAAGTAACACACAAAGGCAGAAGTAACTATTATATTGGCAGACAATGTGAGTTTCAAGCCAAGACTGATTAAGAGAGATAAAGAATGTTGTAAAGGGAATAATCCAAGAAGAGATAACAATAATAAATATGTATGCAAAAATACCAGTGCACCCAACTATATAAACAATTACTAATGGATATGAAAAACCAAATAAACCCTAACATAATTGCATTGGGAGACCTCAACACCCCACTGTCACAAAAAGACAGACAAAAAAATCAATAATGAAATATTAAAACTAAGTCAAACTTTTGAATGAATGGACTTAGTAGATGTCTTTGGGTGTTCCACTCTACAACATCAGAGTACACATTCTTCTCAGCTGCACATGGGACATTCTCCAAAACAGATCATATCATAGAACATACTTAAGTAAATGCAAAGGAATTGAAATTGTTCCATGTATACTATCAGATCACAGTGCAATGAAATCAAGAACTTCAGAAACACATAGAAATTAAATAGCACCCTACTGAACAACCAATGGCTCACAGATGAAATTAAAGAAGAAATTAGACAGTTTTTGTAGTTGAATGATAATGACAGTACAACATACCAGAACTTGTGGTATACAGTGAAAGCAGTTGTAAGAGGGAAATTTATAGCAGTAAATACTCATATAAGGAAAACAGAGCAAGCGTATATGAGCAACTTAATGTTGAACCTCAAACTTGTAGACAAAGTAAGAGCAGCCTAAACCAAAAGGTCATACAAGGGACCTTATAAAGGAAATTATAAAGATCGGAGCAAAAATTAACACACTGGAGACTAAAAAAAAAAAAAAAATACAAAGAATCAGTGACTCAAAGAATTGGTTCTTTGAAGGATTAAATGAAATTGACAAATCCTTAGCCAACCTTATCAAAAAATGGAAAGAAAAGACTCAAATGCATGCAATTAGAAATGAAAAGGTGAAATCACAACAGACTGCAGAAATTCAGAAAATCATCTATACCTACCTATTGGAAAACTTGTATTCTAATAAGATGGAAAATACCGAAGAAATGGACAAATTCCTAGATATATATGAATTACTAAAGCTGAATCAAGAAGGTATAAAAATCCTAAATAATCCAATATCAGTAAATGAAATCTAAGATGTAATTAAAAACTTGTCAACAAAGTAAAGCCCAGCCCCTGATGGATTCACTGCTGAATTCTTCTTGAAATTTAGAGAAAACCTAATACCACTACTTCTCAACTCTTTAATGAAATTGAAACAGAAGCAATACTTCCAAACTCATTCTTCGAAGTGAGCATTACCCTGATGCCAACACCAGAGAAGGACCCAGCTAAAAAAGAGAATTATAGGCCAATTTCCCTATCGAACATAAATGCAAAATTCCTAAATGAGATACTGGCATAGAGAATGCAGCAAATCATCAAGAAGATTATACATACACCATGATCAAGTGGGATCCATTCTAGGGATGCAGGAATAGTTCAACATATGGAAATCCATAACTATAATACACCATATGAACTGAGAGGGTAAACATCCTATGATCAACTCAATAGACACAGAAAAAGTTTTTGATAAAGTCCAGTACCCATTCATGATAAAAATCCTACAGAAAATTGCAATCGAGTCTTTATCTCAATCTGATGAAAGCCGTCTATGACAAACCAACAGCCAACAGCATACTAAATGGGCAAAAACTGAAAGCTTTCACTCTAAAATCAGGACCAAGATAAGGATGTTCACTGTCTCCGCTCTGATTCAACATAGTCCTGGAAATGTTAGCTGGAGCAATAAGACAACAGAAAGAAATAAAAGGAATAAAGATAGGAAAGGAAGAAGTTAAACTATCATTATTTGCAGATGACATGATACTCTACTTAGAAGACCCCAAGAACTCCACCAAAAGATTTTATATTTAATAAGCAAATTCAATCACATTACTGGTTATAAAGTCAACACTCAAAAATCAATAGACTTCCTGTGCACAAATAACTCACTGAGAGAGAAATCAGAGAAGCAATACCTTTAAAAACAGCATCCAAAAAATGAAATACCTAGAAATCAATCTAACAAAGGATATAAAAGATTTCTACATTGAAAATTGAAGTACTCTGAAAAAGGAGACTGAAGGGGATATTAGAAAATGGAGACACAGCCCTTGCTCTTGGGTAGGAAGAATCAATGTAGTGAAAATGCCCATACTTCCAAAACTATTACACAGATTCAGTGACTAATATCAAGAAATTAAGCAATACCAAATGCTGGAGGGGCTGTGGGGAAAAGGAACACCTCTCCACTGTTGATGGGAATGCAGAATGGTACAACCACTGTGGAAATCAGTGTGGAGATTCCTCAAAATCTAGGGAGTAGAGGTCCCATTCAACCCAGTTATTCCCCTTTTGAGTATCTTTTAAAGAAGAGTTAAAAACATTTTACCACAGTAATATATGTGCACCCATGTTTATAGCAGCACAATTTGTAATGGGCAGATCCTGAAAAAAAACCTAAATGCCCATGACTGAAGAATGAATAAAAATATGTGGTATTTTTATTCAATTGATTACTATTCAGCCATAAAGAATGATAAACTGGAGACTTTTATAGCTAAATGGATGCAATTTGAGACCTTAATCATAAGTGAAATAAGTAAGACACACATGTGTAAACATTGTATTTTCATTAGTGTGAAGATCTTAACGAAAAACCGTAAGTATATGTATGCATATGTGTATATGTATGTAAAAAATAGCTAAGATAGCTATACTACTGATTTCTCTGAGTTCACTGAAGAGAAAGATTTATACTGGTATTATTCATACAACTGAATGCAGATGTGCTCTGGTGAATGATTTGAGTGTGACAATGAGCAACGTATGTACCATTGTTGCCCTGATTGATGTTTTGAAATTTTGTTGTAGTTTTTTTCTTCTTCCTCTTCTTCCTCCTCCTTCTTCCTTCCTTCTTTTTCTCTTTCTCCTCCTCCTTCTTCATCTTCTTCTTTCTTTTCTTTTCTCCTTGAAATAGAATGGATTTGGGAAAGAAGAAAAGAAAGCCTTGGGGGCTACTGCCACCTGGAAGTGCCACAGGGACAGACTCACCATAGGCCCTGTGGAGCTCACAGATTGCTTAGAATGTTGGGAGAGGAGCTGTGGGATTTAATGTGTGTCATGCTGGACTTTGCACTTGCTTTGGTCCCATTCCTGTGTGTCCTCCTATTTGTAACTTTTGGAATAGAAATGTCCATTTTGTGCCATTTAATGTTGAAAGTGTTTAACTTCGTTTTCATTTGTACAGAGGCTTGCAGCTAAGAGTTTGCCTTAAATCTCAGAGGAGACTTGGGACTTGGACTTTTCTGCAGTGCTGAAACTGTTAGGACTTTGGCAACTCTTGGAGACAGACTAAATGCCTTTTGCATAAAGGGCTACACCTAGCCTAAGGTGGGTAACCTGTATATAGTTAAAGGGCCCAAAGACATTTGTCCCTCCTTTCCTTGTGGCTTTGCTAACCTGTGGCTGCCATGAAAAGGTCCTTCTCATTGCTTTTGCTGTCTGCTGCCAACATGAACTGTTGCCCATCTTCCATGTGCCAACCTGCTTTGGTGCCAGCCAATTAGGACTGAAAGCTTTACCAACTGCTATCTAAATAAACCTTTCTTCGTTTAAAAAAATGCATTGGCATTTTGATTGAGATTGTATTGAATGTATACAATTCCTTAGTTAGTATGGATATTTTAACTGCATTAATGCTTCCAGTCCGTGACCATGGGATGTTATCCTGGTTTTCCTTCAGTTTCTTTCATCAGAATTTTATAATTTAATTAGTTAATTATTTGGCTTTTTTGGAGACAAAGTCTCAACTATGTGCTCCAGCTGGCCTCAAATTTAGGGCAATCCTCCTGCCTCAGTCTCTCAAGTGTTTGGATTACAGATGTCTGTGAACATGTTATGGAGATCTTTCACTTTGTTGGTTAAGTTTATTTCTAAGAATTTTATTAAATTTTATTTAAAAGTAGCTGTAATGAGGCCAGGCATATGGTTTAGTGGCACAGTGCCTGCTTGGCAAGCAGAAGGTCCCGAGTCTGAGTCCTGGTACAAAATAAAAAAAAAAAAGTAGCTATTGTGAACAGGATTGCTTTCTTGATTTCTTTTTCAGCAAGTTTGTTATTGGTGTACAGAAATGATACTGATTTTTGTATGTTGATTTTGCATCCTGGCGTTTTGCTAAATTTGTTGGCCATTTCTGGTAGTGTGTGTGTGTGTGTGTGTGTGTGTATGTGTGTGTGTGTGTGAAATGTTTATATTTTCCTGTATGCAAGATTGTGTCATCTGTAATGCTATAATCTGACTTCTTTATTTCACACTTGAAAGCCCTCTTCTTTCTCTCTCGCTTAATTGCTCTAAATTCCTCACTCACAGCACTATTTTGAATAAGAGTGGTATAAAAACACATTTTTTTTGTTGTTGTTTTTGAGACAAGGTCTTGCTGTGTAGTTCAGACTGGAATTAAAATCACTAGGTAGCCCAGGACAACCTTGAATTCATAGCAATCCTCCTGCCTCTGCCTCCTGAGTGCTGGAATTACAGGCATATGCCACTATTCCTGAAACAGGACACATCTTTGCACATCTTTGTCTTGTTCCAGATCTTAAGGAAGGGCCTTCAGCTTTTCTATATTCATTATGATGTTGGGTGTAGGTTTGTCATATATAGTTTTTATTATGTTGAGGTTTATTTTTCTATGCTTAATCTGTGGAGAGCTTTTGCATTAAGGAAGGTTGACTTTTTTTTTTTCTGGTTTTAGGGATTGAACCCAGAGCCTCGGGTACGCTTGTAAGTACTCTTATTGCTGACTTACACCCTCAGCCCATGCTCAGTGTTACTGGCTGTGCTTTTAGCACGTGGAGATGGCCATGTGTTTGCCATCCTTAATTCTGTCGATGTTGTATGTAACAGTGATTTGCACACGTTAAATCATGCCTGCATCTCCGGGATAAATCCCAACTGATCATAGTGGATAATATTTTTGATGTGCTGTTGGATTTGCTGTGCTAGCATTTGGCCTGTAGTTCCCTTTGTGTGTCCATGTATGCGTACATGTGTGTGTCTTTCCGTGGCCTGGGTGTTAGGATAATGCTGGCCTCTTGGAATGATATTAACTGTTTAAAATCCTAGATCCTCTGTTCTATGAAGTATTTCAGTACTAGCATTGCAGCAGCACTGACCTCACTTACTTGAACCTAATTGAATTTTGTGTGGAACTTTCTCTGCTTTTATCTCCTTCAACTATGCTGTAGTCATCCTGACCTGTCTTCTTTACCTTGAATGTTGTATGGTTGTTCCTACTTCTCGATGTCTGCCTCTCTTGCTGCCTTGAGCACTCTTCCCTGGGCTTTGGTGTGGTCCATTCCTTGCCCTACTGAGCTGAGTGTCAGTACTCAGAGAGGCTTCGCAGGACCCCCTCGGCCAGATCAACTGTCATACCCAACACACCCATTCCCAGGTGCTTATTCCCTCTCTACCTCCTCACCACACGTTACTTTTTGCCTGGATTTTACTTTCCAGCACAGTCCATTTAGAATGGGTCTCTCGCAGGGACTTGTTTACTTTCTGTCCTTCCAGTCCCACAGAATGTAGGATGTATTATCTGTCTTGGTCATCTTTGTATCCCAGTGATTAGGGTTGTGTCTGGCCTATATTAGATCTCCAATATGCGGTGTGAAAATATTTGTTCAATGAGTAAACAAGTCCTTCTGTTTTTCTAAGAATGTCTTCTTAATCTTCAGAGCTCCATGGCATTGCCGAGCCTCCTGGTCTAGTGGATGGTCCGGGCTGGTCCTCCCTATGAGCTCTGTAACTCTTGAGCCTCCTCCTGCCTGGGGAACGGCCCCGCTGCAGTCTTCATTTTTAGGACAGGCAAGGTCCTGGGAAGGCCCATCTGTGGCAGGGGGCAAGCAACACCTGGGGAAAGAGCCTCCTTGGTCATCAGTGCCATCACACTTGTACAGGATGTGGTCAGACTGATTTATTTGGAAAGTAATCAGTTTTGATGTGATGTGCTCTAACTAATCAGGGCCACATGGTTGCTTTAGAAAATGTACATGTTGTCTTTTTCAGTCATTCCGGAAATGTACTGCTATGTTTCTAATATGAAATTAGCTATATTCTGAGTCATTAAAAAAATCCCCATGTGTTTGTAGTTAACTGGCTTTCTGAGTTTAAAAAATGCTTAGGATCAGATTGGATTTGTGGGTAAGGTTGGTTAAGTAGACTATGAAAACTGAAAACTTCACAGTTTTAGGTGCCAAGGTTTCTTGCTGAACACAGTAAAGACTTAAGCTTCTTAGAGCTTTCAAAGTGATTTGCTAGTTAAGTATGGTTGGGCAGGTTTGTAGTTTCAGCTCTGTGAGAGGCTGAGGCAGGAAGATTGAAAGTCCAAACCTAGCCTGGACAACTCAGCACCTTAGTGTCTCTAAATAAATAAATAAATAAGGCTGGGGTTGTAGTTCACCCCGAAGGTCCTGGGTCAGTCCCCAGGAACACATGCCTGCACACACGTGCGCACACACACACACACACACACACACACACACACACTTGGGATGAGAAACTCTGTGGATGATCCTGCTTCCAGAGGCCCCCTGAGCCTTCGATCTGAACAGGGCCAGGCAGACACAGAGACCCTGACTGCAGTTTGGTCCATGTGACCAGCTGGTGTTTGACGTTAGTAGGAGGCAGAGTTCTGAAGGCCACAGGCAGGGAGGGGTGCGGCTAAGTGCGCGCATGTACGTGCGTGCGTGTGTGTGTGTGTGTGTGTGTGTGTGTGTGTGTGTGTTTAGAGTTTGGAGTTGAATGGAGAGCTGGGGAGGGACGAGGTAAGGGAATCCTCAGTTAGAAAACTGGGTCACTCCATTGTTACTGCCTGGAACCACTAAAGATTATTCCCTAAGGGCTGCCTATCAGTCATCCCTCCACCATTCACCCCCGCCTGTCTGACCCACTGGAGGTTTTTAAAGCTCTTACGGAGTGCAATGTACTGGTGTCGCTTTGGAGGTACAGAAGGAAATACAGCGAAGTCCCCTTTCCCGCAGAATGTTCATTCTAGTAAAGACCTAGAGAAAAGCAAATGAGTACGACATTTCATTTGGCAGTGAAGGCAAATAAAATAGGTAAGGACAAGGGGGGTGTGGCAGGGCTACTGTAGGGGGTGCTCAGGGAAGCGCTCCCTCCAGGAACGTGGCTTTGGAATCTGAGAAAGTGAGATGGGGGAAGGACTTCTTAGGGGTTTTTGGGCCAACGGCCCGAGTGAAGCATTCAGGAGCACAGGTGCAGTGGGTGGCCAGGGCACAGCGAGAAGGACGCTGAAGTGAGGGGCAGGCAGGCAGTGGGAGGAGGACACGCACAAGGGTGTTTGGACAGTGCGAGGCTTTTTCTGTCATAATCACACGCAGTCTTCAAATGAAAAAGTATTTACAGAACATTTGCTATTTTTAGTTGCTCTGTGCACCAAGAGATTGCATTTTGTTCAATTGAAGTTGACTTGATTTTAGAAGGATGCTAAGTGTGACCTGCTGAACTGATTTCATGACCCACACAGGAGCCGAAATGCATGGTTTGGAGACCCTGATCGAGTTCTGTCATCTTTGTGAGGTTTGGATTTTACTATAAATGAAGTCAGGAATCATTAGAGGATTAATGATGGAGAGGTCAATGCAGAAGACCATGGCTGGAGGTCCAGTCACCAAAGTCCAGGCTTCAGAAAAAGAACTCACCTACATATTTCCCCTAGGGAAGAAGAGCAGTGATTGATATTCTAAGCAGGCATCCATGGCCTTGGGTGGGTGGTACACCTCCTTAACCCGCCCCTTGCAGGAAAGCTCTTATCTGCCCCTGTGTGCTAGCTACCTTGCTTCCCCATTTGACTCCCATTGACTATACTTGTAACCTTATTGGTTCACTGAGGTTTTGTTCCACCTCACATCCATCCCATGATTTCTCACTGGATCAGTATTACCTAAGAGATTCTATTTGTGATTGTTAGAGCATTCTGGTACAACAGAGAAGCAAAAAGCACAAAATGAACAATTTTATTGAGGTGAAGACCTGGAAAGGAGCACACAACCCATGACTGCTCTGCTGTCTCCTTCAACCGGATACAGAGAGGCAGAGGGTTATATGACCCCTGATTGGAAGTGGTGCGTGGGGCGGACATTGATAATGTGTGAGGAACCCATTAGAATTCTCTCTGTGTGTAAACAGGAAGGGGAGTTGCAATTAGGGCTAAAGAGGAAGCAGGAAGTGGTAGGTGTTCCCACTTTGGCCTTCCGCCATGTTAGACCACTGCTGTAATTGTACGGTAATTTATACCAGGGTAAGAACCTTTCAGTGATCTTATTGATTAGGGTTCTATCCTTTTTTTTTTTTTTTTTTGGTGGCACCCGGGATTGAACTCAGACCCTTGTGTTTGCCAGGCAGGCGCTTCCACTGAGCTAAATCCCCAGCCTCTTGGTTCTGTCCCTCTTTGAACCTGTCTCACCTTGTGGCTTTACTCAGCAAACGCCTTTGAGAAGTGGGGTTGGTGGGTAACCCACTTCCTCAGCCTCCTTCTGTCCTTCTTAGACAGAAGCTTTCTTTCACTAAATTCTTCCTACTCTTTGATAGGATTATGTCCAAAAGATGAGAAGCATAAAACAAAAGAGGCTGTGATCTATTAACTAGTGATTTCCTATTGTTTATTTTTTTCTGAAATTCTGTATAACTTGTACCCTATTTCTGTTTTTTTTCTTTTTCTCCTTAATAAAACAAAACAAAACAAAAAAACAAAAGAGGCCTTTATTCTGAGAACACGGAGAGAGAGAACCAACCCCCCCCCCCCCCAGTCCGGCTTTCTCTCTAGTGGACACGTGGCGTGGGGCGGGTATATAAGTAGCCTAAGCTTAGGGGTAGTGCCTAAGGCCATTAGATGAGATGCACAGGTACCTCATTGGCACACGTTTGGCGCCAGGGGCAGATTCCTAACGGTGGGGGGAGATAGAGTCACAGGTAAATCCCTAGGGGCGGGAGAGACAGGAGCTTCCTGGTTCCGGTTGAGGCTTTTCTGGCTACAGAGTCCTGTCTGGGCCAAAACCCTTTCACTCTTAACCTCCACTGTTCCTAGGATTCATTCCTCAATTTTAGAGCACACAAACTCAGTGTACAGTTTGGGAGTTATAATATTTCACTTATATTACTGGGAGGGATATATATCCTTTATATACCTTACATCAATATAACATCTTTTTGTTGGTGGGTACTGGGGATTGAACCCAGAGTGCTCCCACTGAGCTACTCAGCAGTCCTGTATTTATTTTTCATTTTGATACAGGGTCTTGCTGAGTCACGAAGTTCCCCGAACTGGGCTTGATCTTGCCTTTTCCTGCCTCACCCTCTGGTGCTGGTGTGTACATGGTGTGTACCATGGTGCCCAGCTCACACAGGAACTTGAAATTTGAAACTGTGATGTGTCCCACTTTGCTGCTTTTGTTCAGAGTTGCTTTGCCCATCACTGCAGGGTAATTTTCTTCTGGGCTGCCAGTGATTGTGTAGAAACAGAAGACCTCCTAAGTGGGCAAAAGATAGGGTGAAGGCCTCAGTGAGCTTTATTAAAAAGTAATAGACAACTCTGACCCCGTTAGCCAGAAAAAGGCAAACTAGCTAGACAGGAGCAATTAGGAAGACAAAAGTGAAGAAACTAGGTCTGAGAAGGTTCTTGGTAGTACAATTAACATGAGAATAGAAAACCTTCCCTTTACTTAATTCTTAGGCCTAAGTAACCTGTCCTTTAACTCTTACCC